GCTTGAGTTATAGGCCCAATAGTAGGGTCTAAATAATAGAAAACCAAACTCTCTAGAAATTCAATTGAAAACCCAAAGCCCATTTTCAAAACCAGAACAACACTCAAAACACCAATAATAAACTACAACAATGCCATTAACTGAAGCCCAGCCTGTTTCATTATCAAAACCCAGACGAATTTACAAGTCTGGCACCGCAAATAGTTACAGGATATTAAGCCACGTTAGGTGCTTTTCAATCTCAAATTATGTGCAAAAACAGTCTATTAACATTGGTGCACTAATAGTCGAGCAATAACAGTGTAATAGCAGAACTTTGAACAGTACAGAACAAAATACATAAATCAATCACATCTCAAGAAACAGAATGGATTTCAAAAACAACATCAATAACATTAAATTGAAAAACAAACAGAAACGGTATGTCAAAGATTAATATGCATACCTCAATATGAACTAATACAGTTGAACCAAGAACCTCATTTTTTCACTTTCTTTTTAATTTTTTCAATCCGAGCTAGAAATTGGGATCCAAATATTTGTACGTGCTTACTGATATAAAATCACTAGAAAAATTATCAACGGCCAATAAATAAATAAAAAGAGCATCGTAACAGCAACAAAACATTCCAGGTGAAAGGGAAAAATCAAAATATTGAAATGGGTTAAGAAAACAAAATGTTATCCAATAAACATTGGAACACATCTCCATGGGTTTTAAGGAGAAGGTTCAAGCAGAAAGGATTTTTATTTTGATTTACGCACAAATGTAATCCTGGAAACAATTTTCACAGAGAATAGGTTTCCAAGAAGACCTATGTGCTAGAATATAAGCATGGACAAGAAATGCTAAAAATGTTAAGAAAGGGAGTTAACAAGTTCGCCATACTGACCATCTTAAAAACTTAATGGTGAATCCTTGATATAAGTTAATATGCAATGGCAGTACCAATTCAATAAAATACAACGCCCAAATCAAAGGTAATTAGCCCATGACTCTAATTTAACAATGTTTTAAATTCATCACCGGTAACAGAAACACAAGTATAAAATGTGACTCCACACTAAACTTGGACCTCATGGAAAATCCTTCAAAATCTTTAAGATAAGCAAGCAGCTGGAACTCAACTCAATTCCTTCATTCACTTGTTGATTCCATGGACTCCACAACATCAATCAAAACTAGCATTTAAGAACTTCAGCAGTTCATTCCTTTTGTTTTCAGCCGCTTTGTCCTCCTTTGTCTTCTCAAGTTTCAATAGAATCTGCAACACCAAAGAACAAAATTTCTTTTTTTTTTTAATCTAGCCAGCACAAGGGAGGATAGATGGTCGCAGATGCCCCTAACATCTCTTATAAATCTTTGCAAACAGTCAAGATATATATTACCCAAAAAAAATGCTTACCTTTTTGCCAGAGACAGCACTACGACGAACTCCATCATCTTTGTCACGCCCTAAGAACTGTAGAAAGCAGAATGTTATTTCACAAAATGAAACATACAGAAAAAGTTGAGAATGTAATTATCAAGAGTTAAATGAAAACCTTGGAAAGCTGAACAGGGCTGCTATTTCTCTCATTCTGCTGCTTCTATATATGGCTCCCATTACCAGGAAAAACACAACCCAGAAACAATATCCAGGCAAGCCAATCAAGCATCCAGTCATCATGCCACAGACCCCAGCTCCAATTTCGAAGAGCCAATCCATAAAACAGGCAGAAAGTACTATAAGCACCTCAGCAATTGATGTATATAAAATCATATGCATCCAATGTAAAACATTGTGAATGCAAGAAATTGTGCATGTGTATGTGTCATGGTCTTTTTTTGGTCAACTGTATGTGTCATAGTTTAACTAGCATAAATGCATAAGTTTGAAAAAAACGAAAAATATATCCATTGCGCATCTTTCTAACTTTTTTTAGTCATGCTAAAAAAATTTCACTTTCCGAATCTGGATCAAGATGCACCCATAACAATATTAACAAACACAATAGAGTTGCCAACATATATCTTAGTTAAGCCATGGTCTGGAAAAGACAATGAATCAACTAATCACAAATTTTAACTGAACAATGAATCAACTTCCACTTCTTTTCTTACTCTCTAACATTGTTTATTACTCTCTGGCATCTGAGCACGATTCATGTATAACAATTCAAGCAAATGCCACAGAGTTTCCAATGAATATGTTGTTTAAGCCAAAGTCTAGAAAGGACAATGAATTAACAGCCTTAACACAAAGTCTAACAAAAAAATCATATCAAGCCAAGAGAGCTACAGAAAGCATACTGGCCTACCTCTTTGAGTTTACTCCTATGATGTTTACGGCGATGACTCTTGCTCTGGTCCTTTTCCTTGCTCTAGAGGGGAAAGGAGTAATTGAATGAGACAAAGCACAAGCAGAAAATGTAACGTTATGTCGTAAAGAATTGCCAAACACCCACCTTCTTCTGTCTGTCACTCTTCTTGCGCTTCTTTGACTGACTAGATGTTTCACGCTCACTGTCCGAAGAACTATCACTGTGACAATAAACAATAAACAAAGGATGTTAAAAAAAACAGCCATCGAGCAGTAGCCTATGAACATCTTCTAACTTGCATCTAAACCACATTGCCCAGTAACAGAATCATTTCAAATTAAATTTCTAAAAAGCAGAAAAACCCATAACAAAACATGCAAATCACTTCAGAAACCCAAATGTTTGCTCCATTAGCATCTAGTCCTTATCAGTTATACTGTTTGACGCACCTCACAAGGTCCATACTTCCTCAATACAATCCACTACTTATTCTTTGAAAACTTAAGCTTCCCGATCGAAACCCATGCTACAATTTAATTCATAATCGATTTGAATAAACTGAGACATACATGTTTTATATATATATAATGAAAAAAACGAGAGAACTTAACTTTGAGCTGAAAACAAGCTAATTTTCCCCAGTTGGGTCCTTTCGAAACTTTACAATGTTAGCTACAAAAACTACACAACGCACTAAATTGCAATAAATTACACATCCATGTTAAACACCGAATAAACCCCAATCGGGGTTACTCAAAATTAGTCAGAATTCAAAACCCTAAAACCTCCTACCCCTTCCAAAGATTAATCCACAATCAAACAGGGGACAAAATTGAAAAGGAAATAAAAGCCACCAGAAATCACAAATATAACATCTCAGCCCAGAAAAATATATATAAAACAAAAGCATTTTCTAAATTTTTGGAGACCTGGAATAGTCCGAAGGAGAGGAGGAAGAGTAAGAATCAGACGAGGAGTGGTGGCGGTGTCTGCGACGTCGTTTAGTGTGGGAGCGAATGGTCTTTTTACGGATCTTCAGGGCATCTCTGTCTTTATCTTTGTCTTTGCCTCGGCGACTACGTTGGTGGCGACGATGTCGGCGGCGAGACGCAGACGAAGACGACGAGGAGTCCGAGGAGTACACGGACAACGATGAGGACGAGGCCACCATGTCTAGAGATTGAGAGAGAGTTTGAGGCGACGAAGGGTTTGACAAACTGGGTTCGGACTACAACAAGAAGAAAAATTAATAACGAAATAAGAAAACTCTTTGTTTAAGTTGTTTTATAGGTTCTCTATATTAACGAAAATACTTACGTTATTCCCATGTGTATAAGTTTTTCTTTTTATGTTTTTTATAAATTACTTTTGCACATATATTTCCTTCCAAAACAAGGAGCAAGTAGTAGACTTATATTAATATCTTGAGATTTTTTCGTATTTTAACCAAACCACTTGATATTTTGAAAATTACAATAGATATATGTTGATTTTCCAACTAAAAATTGTTGATATCATCAATAGAATTTCTTTAAATGACAAATTTAACTCTTGAAGCCTCATTGCCAACCGGTTCATAGTTCAGTGGTAAGAGATTTATACTCTAATAACACCTCATTCTAAGTAAAAAAAACTTACTTATAATGGGAGTAGCAAAAAGTGTTATCCCCACTACATAAGAGTTTCTCTCCTTCTTAGAGCACCTCCAGCGCTGCTCTTTTGCTCGGACAGGAGGGGGCCTAGGCCCAGCATTTGGCTTCAGCGTGCAATGTCAAGACGGGGCAGTTGATGGGGTCCACACACCTGGGCATGTCCAAAGGCAAATCTTGCCTAGGTTTGCTGACGTCATTGATGACGTTAGCAACGAAAAAAATCAAAATAAAATAACCAAAATTTTCAGAATTTTTGTTATATATAAATACCAAGTCATATTTTTCTCTTCCCACACCAAAATTAATGGTTTAAGTATAAAAAATAGAAAATAAATTAAAATGAATAGTAATTGCTCTTGCCCTTCGAGGTGGGAAATGTGCAACGTCAAGACGGGGCAGTTGATGGGGTCCACACACCTGGGCATGTCCAAAGGCAAATCTTGCCTAGGTTTGCTGACGTCATTGATGACGTTAGCAACGAAAAAAATCAAAATAAAATAACCAAAATTTTCAGAATTTTTGTTATATATAAATACCAAGTCATATTTTTCTCTTCCCACACCAAAATTAATGGTTTAAGTATAAAAAATAGAAAATAAATTAAAATGAATAGTAATTGCTCTTGCCCTTCGAGGTGGGAAAAAAAAAA